TGAGGATGACAGCAATACTGTCATATAGTATAACAGGATCTCTTTCAAAAGTTAAAGTCATAGCACACAAATGTAATTCTAAATGTTTAGTGTTAGACCATTCGGATCATATTTTGTAAAATTTCTGTGAGCCGTATGAAACATGGTGTCATAACCTTTCTGTGAATTTAAAGCAAATCTGAAGGATGTTATACAATAAAATGGACACACATCTGTTTGCTGTGCAGCTGTCAAAGCTCCGGCCACTTTGATTGGTGCTGCTGCAGGGGCTGCTGGGATAATTCTCACCTGCATCCTACTGACAGTTATTCTCAAGTGAGTGTCTGTACCTGAATCTTCCCTGAATGAAAAGGTACCTGCTTCAATAAACAGCTTTTAACAGTCTGTTCCTGATCAATTCATGATTTCCAGGAAAAGCTGCACCAGACAGAATCATGGCAGTGAGACACAGGAAACAAGAGAATTAACACTGACAAACCAGGTGAGTCTCTCTCATGGGCTGCAGATCCACACAAAGCACTGCCATGCTGCAGACAGACATGAGAGTATGGAGAGATCATATGAAGTATGGGCTTTATGACATGTTACCAACACAATGTATGTCATTAAATGAATGACCCTTTACTGACACTTTGTAAATGACAAATTTTAAGTGGAATCATAATTTTCTTAATTATCACAAACATTCTAATGTTATATACTGTACGGTCTGCAGCTTCCCACTTTCTCTGCCTTACTGACCTAACTGTACTTCTCTGTCTTAAACTAAATATTCTCTGTTAATTAGTATGCATTTGCCTGGCATATTGATCAGTATCTCAGTTCCGCTATTGTGGAATTCTACTATTTATATTTATCATTAGTATCTTGCTGTAGATTGTTCTACGTTTTGAGGCTGTTCACCAATATTTCTTTAATTAACCATTGTCTTGTTCTCTTATGACCATATAAGTGCAGTTTTTGTGTTTTGAGTTATTGAATGACTGACCAGTTTTAAAATCACATTTAAAAGCTTGACATGCATCCTTGATTTTTCTGATTTGCACTTTTGAAATCTATACAACAAATTTCAGCTGAACACACCTGAACCAAAGGAGGAAGCAACATATGAGAACATCTGCCATCAGCTGGGCACCAAAGGTCCAGACAAGATGTAGCAATGAGGAGGACAGTGGTGCTTATGATGTTCAGCAAGATGATCTTGCCATTTTTAATCCACTGATTTCATAAGAAAAGGGAGCCATGCAGTGATGAAGCAGGTTAAGAATCTGAAAAGAAAAATGGCTTAGACTGTAACTTCGAATTGGACACGATACTATAGAAACATTTTAACAATGTCTCATTTGTTGCTAATGTCAGAAATAAAAGTGAAAAGTTCCTTTAATTTTTGCTTCAGTTGGGATGTAAACAGATCCATGTGATACAGAGATGGGATGACTGAAGAGGGACTGGTTTAAGGTTTGTGGTTTAATGAACTAGCAGAAGCCCCATAATGAACTTTTCCGCACTATTGGAAATTGCTATCGGAAATTTTGATTTTTTCACCCTTTCCTAGTGTCCATGCCGAGTTTGATGCCTGCATCACTAAGTGCTTAGTTATCCTTAAATGCTGATTTAATCTGCTGAGCTTGCAGTTCATGTTATAGATCTTCTTGAAAAAAATTAATATGAAAACTTGTATTAAATTAGTGGGACCTTGCAAACACTTATAGCTCTACCACAAAAACCTTTTCAGTCATGCTTTTTTTCTTTTTCTTTTTTTACATGGAATCATGAGCTTAAAACCGAGCTTTGCATCAAGCCACAGACTTTGTGTATCATTACTCCCCTATTCCCATTCCATTTTTAACAGAATATCAAAATCATTTGTGTGCCATAAAGACTTGTGCAGTGGGACAGATATGGCCTATAGGCCTTCAGCTTGACATTTGTGGTGTAGGTGTTGTGATCGAGCAAGCGAGCGAGCCGGG